CCTGTCCAGGGCAGGGGGTCAGATTCAATGATCTAATAGATCCCTTCTGACCCTAAAATCTATTAAATCTATGAAATATAGTAAATTAATGACAACCAACTTGGGCACAGGTGTCCAACAGCTCCCTGGTGCACTGGGACCTAAAACTCTTTAGGGATATGAGTAATACCACTGAATTCAATGGGCTTACTTATGTACATAAATGTTTGCAGAAGCAAGGCCTAAAAGTAGCTCTTTGTTGATGAAACATTCATATTAATATTATAAAAAACAAAATTAAAAGTGATTTGATATGAAACACTGAAATATTACTTTTAATAAACTATAAACAATTTGGTTAATGTTACTGCCCCCTAAAACAAGATTTAGGATTTTCTTAATACAGGGAAGTATGTATTTTTGTATTTAAAAAGTTTCAGATGTTAAGATTTTTCTACCCTATATTCACATCAATTCAAATTAAAATAGAGTATATGGATGACAACACCAGGGAAAATATCCAAAGCTCTAACTTCTCACCATTCTATCATCACCTCAAAGTCAATTTTCACCTTTTTCACTGGCTGAGTTTGTTATCTTACATTTTGCTTTGGGGCTCATGTGTTCTTGCAATATGGCAGTGCTGGATTATAAGAGTACTGACAAGGCTGTTTACTGCAAATGTGCAATAGCTATATTACAATACTTCAGGAATCAGATTCCACAATGCTATAACATGTAGAAGAGAGAGAGAAAAAATTAGATTCAGAGAGTACTTCATTTTTGATAATTTTATGTGGGATTTCAGCTACACAGCTCTCCACTGAATCATAAATACAGCCAAGCACACAAAGACCATAAAACAACTTTTTATCCTGGTGAGTAAAGAACTGCCTGAGGCAAAGCCATCCTATATTTGCTTTTTACTAAGAGTGAGGAAACAATTAACAACCTGATCCTACAAATACCTATAGCCAAGTGCAATGCTTATAGATGCAGCAGTCCCATCTGACCAGATTCTTCAACTGCTGTCCCAGGCTCACAGAGTTAGCCTAGGTGCACCAGACCAGAATTTCTTTCCTGAAGTCTCAGGAATGATTGAAGTGCGAGGCCCATTGCTAAGATGTGCACCCTAAAAGTAAAGATTACAGTTGCAGGGTGGCTGGCAGATATGATTTCTGGGAGAGCGCAGAGTCAGGAAAGGGAAGGCTTTAGAGCAGACTCCCCCCCCCGCCACATGTCATTCTGTCCTCCCAAATTGCCCACCTTGACTTGTTGGTTCCACTCCTAATGCAAAGAAAGCAAAATGAAACAAGTAGAAAACCAGGCTGGTCACCAGGCCCAGAGTTCAACAGACCAGAAGTACATCTTGGTTTTTAAGACAGCTATCACATAAGACAGATATGTTGCACCACATAAGGAAAAATAGTTATTATGAAATTAAAGACCAGGTCCTAGTGTATATACACACAAACAGAATTTAGATAGCAGAGGCTACCTTAATCTTAGCATTAACACCATTCAACACAAAATTGTGTTTTACATGTGTAAATACACATAATACTACAGTCTTATGCAAAAAAGATGCATAAAAATGCGACAGCAGAAATAAACTGACAAGAGCCAAACAGATTAGATATAAAGTACAACACCAACATTCCTGAAATTAAACCTGAATGTTTTCACACCTGTTGCCAGAAAAATCTCACCCTATTACCCATGTATCTTTGATATGCTTCCCACAGTTTCAGTTACATTGACAAGGTCAACACCACCCACAGATGAGAGTTTTGGCAGAACATGGCACTTAAAACTTCTCAAAGCAAGACAATAATTTGCTAATACAACTAAAACATAAATATTTATGTTGTAATTGGGGGGAAAAGAGGTAAGCAAGTCATATGAGTTAATTAATGTACCTGCAACCATTAAGTTCCCCTGTCAAAAAGAAGCAAACAGACAACCTGAAATAGAGACTTTTAAAGCCATGCTTGATTTTTACGTTCCTTTATGGCAAATATGAGAAACAGCAACAATTAGACAAGCAAAATGGACAGCATATGGATAAACAGATGAACACAGCTAAGGTATAAGTTAAGGCAGTATTAAGGGACCAGGGAAAACTTCATGAACAAGAGATGAGAAATATAATCAACCAACAACAGCTCATTAAACCTCTGCACTCAATAAGTTCAATTATTGCAGCACTGTATACTCTTAACACTCCTCATACTTTGTCATCTACACTATTAATTTTACTGGTGGGTTTATTGATAGCTTTTAACCCATATTCAAAATATATATATATATATATTTTTTTTTACAAGCATTCTTGCCCTGCTTTATTTCAACCTAAATGCTAGAGTCCACCCCTCCCTTCTTAAATATTTTATGCACAGCTTTGTGCTTAATGAGCTCTAACTTTGCTTGCATCTACAAACCTACCTTTCAATTAGCCCTTCCAAGAGTATTTAAAAATGTACACAAACAGGTAATATAGTTTAAACACTCATCACCTGCTCCAAATACTCTTGTTACCACCTTGCCTTTCACCTGTCCAGAAGTATTATACAGAAAAAGTTAAGAACCTCTGGATTGCATTACATTAACACATGACCTGAAGCCTGCTAATATTACTTTAGATTTTCAACCAAGAAGTATTTTCAGGGTAGTTCCAAAATCAGTCTATCAAACATAGACCCAGCAAACCACAGCCACTCCCTTATTTGCACATTACTAAGACTCATCAATGGACCAAGTTCAAACAGAAACACGGTCCTCATCCAATGATTCATTTTCAAGGACATCCACTGACATTTCAACGCTAAATAAAAATATTAAGCTATTAAAACAGGCTATTCTTTATCTAATTTTGCTTTTTTTTCTTTGCCCCACTACATGATAGTGCTGTGTTTTCCTAAAAATGCAGGTACAATATATCATCTTTCCTTTTCTTCTCTGCTACACCTGTCTCTGAAAACCATGCACACCTCAACAGCATCACACTTCTACCATATGATGCCTCTTTATCTTTCAGTGAAGTATTAATTTATCTATTGAAACACTCTTATGACTCCAGATGACCACACAAGGGTCAACAGCAGCCACTCAGCAGCTCAGTTAAACCTCCTGCTGTGTACATACAAAAGAAAAAGTAATCCCTATTTTTAAAGAGCCATGACTAGATCATTTATAATAGGTGTGACTAACATGGGTATGGTACACAGCAGATGAGGGAGGGGACAGGCAGCACAGTGGCAGGCAAATAGGGCAGGAAGCAGAAGAGAGCAGCAGATTGGGCAAGGAGCACATGGCAGTGAGCAGAAAGCAGACTAGCATATCTGACAGGGGAAACAGATTGGGTGGCACTTAGGGGAGTGCAGGGGTAATTTGTGGCGCACATGCCAAAAGGTTCATCCTCACTGATTTAGTCTGGAGCACTGCACCCAGACTTTACAAATCAAGTGCTATACGCATTTACCGAGAAATGGAGTCCACAAAATAGGGGGTGCCTTGAATATAACAAAGGGTACCTTGAGTCTAAAAGGCTGAGTACTGGTTTAGATGTTCAGAAAAAGTGTGACTGAGCTTCACTGGCCAACAGGTCTTTGGTATTTCTAAATACCAAAGACAATGTGGGCCAGGCTCTTCAACTGGCAAAAACTGGGGTATCTGCAAAATGCACCATCACTGATGGCTATCAAACAAATGGTAAACTTAAAAATCTGTGCTTCTCCCTCTCCTTTCTCTGACATGAAAAATGAAATACCTAGCAGCCTCAACATTTAAACTATAAGATCTTGTATCTGAGTTAACACCTTCCTGAGGTGAATAGGTTGATTTACACTTCTCAAAGCTATTGTTCCACCCTGTCTGCAAACTCATAGACCTCTCTACATCTAGTTCATGTTTTGAGGTTTTCTTCACAGCCATAATACTTACAGCTGAAATAAAACAAAACAAAACAAAACCATACGCAGATATACTGTCGGTAAGTTCTGCACCACTGCTCACCGGATCCATGAGCCCTAGCCTCACAAACCATAACAATGGCTCAAGCACACCCTGAGTCCTCCAATCTACCACCACTTGTCATTTCAGAATGAGGGCACAGATCAAACACAGACCTCTGACTGCTGAATACAATGAACAAACAAGTCCACCAATTTAAGAAGGAAGATGAATGTCAATGTCATTGGTTTCATTTATTTTTAAAAACAAAATGTTCTATGGATACATGTAGACAGTAGACGATGGCCACTGAAAGTCAACATGGGGAAGGTGCATGGGAATAGGGCTGGGAACAGTGGCTAGACACCAACAGGGGGAAGTGGTATAGAAATAGGGCTTGGGGTAGCTGCTGCATGTCAACACAGGGAAACTGTGGAGCAGAGGTGGGCAAAACATGGCCCATGGGCTTTCTCCCCAAAGCCATCCAGAGTGGTGCGGCAGGGGCAGGACTGGGAGAAGGAGCTGCTGCTGGAGGCGAGAGGAACAGAGTAGTCCCACCAACTGGGGCCTTGGCCAGCGTGCAGCTTCGAGCAGGGCTGTTCCCAGTACAGCTGCAGACTGCCAGGTGCATCCTCTCCCCTTGCCTCCAGCAGTGGCTCCTCCTCCCACTGCACGGCTCCAAGCAGGGGGAACTTCAGCAGGCGCCTCCTGCTAGAGGTGAAGGAAGCAGAGCAGCACCCGGCTGGCTGGAGCCACAGCAGGAAAACTGAGTGCTGACCCGGTGGGCACAAGTTTGGCAGGGCTGCCCCGGGCGGGGTGAGGGAGCTCTGTTGCACGTACCCTCGCCGAAGCAGCCCCCCACCCCCAGCAGGGCGGGCGGGCGAGGAACAGCTCAGCTTTGCCCATCCCCCTGGGCTCCCCAGCGCCGCTCCCTGTCTCCCACAGAGAGCTCTGGCGGCGGTGGGGTGGCCTCGGGCCTGACTCGCCACGGGGCTCTGGAGCTAGCACGACAGGGGGTGGGGGGGCGCGGGCGGGCAGTGCCCCTCCCCCGGGGGCGGGGCCGCCCCTACCTGCCGCGCTCGCGGGACGCTCCATCTGCCAGTCTGCGCTACCGCAATGGCCGCCGCCACATTCCCGGCGCATGCGCAGAACTGCGGCCCTGCCCGAGAGGCACGTGCGCAGCGCCCCCGGAACAGGAGTGGGGGAAGGGGAAGATGCGCACGTGACCCGCCCACGGGCGCGGGTACCAGAAGCGCGCATGCGCTGAGGGCCTTCAAAGGATGCCCACCCACTCCTGTGTCATGCGCATGCGCATGCGCTGGGGGACCAGAAGGCTAGGCAGGCGGGGACGTGAAGCCCCTATAGGCTGGTGCGGGCTGGGGGCGGGCCGCAACCCTTAGTGACCAGTGACGTCCGTGGTGGCTTCAGTGTTGTGGGCCGGAGCCTGGCTTCGGCGCACGCGCACTGTGTCACTGGCCGTGTCCATCAGGTGCGCTGCGCGCCAGGATCTCGCCCTCAGGTGGCCCTGGGGCAGAGGTGTCTTGAGACGGCACAGAGGAGGCTACTGTGTCAAGATGATGCATCCTAATCCTCTGGTTGTTTTCTTTACCTCCAGCCACATATGAAAAGGCTCCAACCTTAGCTGCCCCTCACACCTGTGCTGTTACATCCCCTCGTATTAGGCCCCATCCGTACGTGACATGACCAGCTTGGGTCAGTCTCCAAGGCACACATCACCAGTTCAGGGCCCCAGTGCCGACTTGAATGCGAGGTGGAAAAAAGCAGCTGTAGCAAGTGTAGGGCAACCAGAAGTTATAGCTGTCCCTGTGTCCTCAGGGGTGCATCCCAGCACTGCTGGGTTACGGTTATGATGAAATAAGGGGATACGCAGCACTTCACGGAAGCGGGATGTTGGCTGCCCCAGTTCACCTGCTTTACCAGGGACAGGTTACAGTGCCAGGTCAGGGTTAAGGGAAAGTCTTATGTAGGGTTTAGATTATGTTTGTAATGGGTGGTTGGAATAGGAAAGATTCTGCCTCAGAGAGGGGGGTTGGACTAAATCAATGTTTCTTAAATCTTTTTTGTGCCAGGATGCATCTGTAAACATCAATGGCTAGTTGTGACCCAGCCCCCCTTGCTCCTGACCCACTGCCCCTTACCCCCAGGCCCTAGCCCTGCAGTGGAAGGGTAGGAAGTGGAAGGCAGGGAGCCCCAAGCAGCCGCTTGCAGGTGGGAATGCTGCCAGCCTGCCAGGGAAAAGCCACCATCTCCCATGTTTTTCTCCTTTAAAGGAGAATCCATTTTTGAAGTTTGTTGATCCATTTTTAAAGTTTGTTCGCTACCCTTTCATATATTCCTATGAGTTGACCCACTTTTGAGTCATAACCCACAGGTCGAGAAATGCTAGACTAAACAATTTCTGGAGGTCCCTTGCAGCCCTACTTCTCTACAACTCTTGTGACAAACACATGCTAACCAAATAGCAAGGTAGAAGGAAGGGATTTGGTCACCCTTGGGGAAAACCAGGAGTAATGGCCACAAACTCTTGGAAGACCACTTCAGGCTCAACTCTAGGAAAATTTTCTTCACAGTCAGTGTCTAGATGTGGAATAAGCTCCCTCCAGAGGTGGGTCAATCACTTAACCTGGAAATCTTCAAGAAGAGACTTGACGATCACCTTGCTGCAGTCACCTGACCCCAGTTGTCTTTCCTGCTTAGTGCAGGGGGCTGGACCCAATGATCTTGCAAGGCCCCTTCCAGTCCCTAATGATCTATGATTCTGAGCTGTGTCACCATGGCTGCCTGCCTGTTGTCTCAGTCTGTATACAATGAGCAAGATTTGAAGCAGATCACAGGAAATTCCTCCCATCTGTGAGGGGTGGCATGTTACAAAACACAAAGGTAACTCATGGAAAATACTACCAATAATTTCAAGGAGACTTTATTCAAAAAGGCAAGTGGATTCATCATGCCCATACTGCCTCTTGCAGACACAATTTGAGCCAGCCAATTGAAAGTATCTTTGGAATAATTTGTGTGGAATACAAGCAGTATAAAAAGGTGCTTTGAAAAGGGGAATGAATGAAACAATAAGTAGATGCAGTAGAAACAGCTGAAATAAACAGAGGTGTGTGGTGACAAGAATTTCTTTTTTCTGTTCACTTTAGGGCATCTGTCCCACAGTCTTGCAGTGTGCTCCGGTTCTGTTGCAGGACACTTTCTTGCAGATTTTTGGCTATATCTACACTGATAATTAGGAGTGAGCTTGAAGTCAACCCTAAACCCATATTCACTGACTATCTATGCAATAAAGCTCTACAGTTGAACCCTGGAGGGAGTGCAGACTAAGCATGAATGCTCTGTTGACTCCAGTGCCTTTCACCACTGTCCTGGCCCTCCCTGTGGAGTATTTAGAACTCATTGAGACATTGCAAGCAGACAGCTTAGGAAGTATACCTACCAGCAGCAACCCACAATCCTCTGTTAGAGCCTCCCTAAACACCACACCTGTCTATACTATCTAGATGGAAGGACAAGGCTAGATCTTAAAAGGGTTCCACTGCATCTGAGCAACACAACATGCATAGCTTTGCCTCAGACTTCAAGGTAAGATATAGTCTCATGTGGCTTCAAGTGACTGAGGTTGATCCTCAAAGTCAACCTCAACTATCCTAGATATATTTGGCAAAAGGCAACTTCAGTTTTAGCATCACCGTCACAGGATGGGGTTCTCAAGGATGGCTGTGTTACCCCTGGGGCCCCTTGACCATGCCAATACAACCTGCTGGGCACCCTCTAGTCTCGCCCACCATGTCTTGATATCATTGTAACAAGTAGGGAGGCTGCCTTTAAGCTTGCTTGGGCATGGTCCTGATGGACTTCCTTGAACCCCGTGGGTCCTAGACCCCTTGTGGGTCCCATTTCAAAATAGGTGTCCCAGGGACACCCCAGCCTTATGGGCTATATGCGTGGCTTCAACTGCCCCTTTACCACACCCCAAGCCTCACAGATGGCATTGACATTGTCCAGTCTAGGTCCCAACATGATTTGGCCTCTTTTTCCTCTTTGGGTTTTCCACAGCCCTGTCTGTGCACCCCAAGTACTGCACCCTTGCTGGCACCAGGGTCCCCACATTGTAGTGGGCGCCCAATGAGGCCTCCTCCTTCCCCAAGTAGTCTCATTCAAGCCACTGGTGTTATTAACAGCAAACAAACATAAGCCCCTGGGCTATAGCATAATACAAAAGACCAGGGTGTGCTCTGCCCCTTTAAAAGCAGAGAACTTCATCCCCAGCACTAAGTGTCTAATAGGCAAGGGTACCTGCAAAGCTCATGCAGCCCTATTAGCCCTAGATGCAGCATATCAGGCAGTTACTGCTTCACTGGACACTTCCTCCCTGGAGGCTCCTTTCCCTCTAGCTACTAGCAGAGAACTGCTTTTCCTAGCTCCAGCCTGGGGTTTATATGGGCCCAGGCCGCTGCCCCTTCTGGTCAGCTGACCATGTGCAGGTGCAGGCTAATTTGCCCTCTGGCTTGTTGCCCTGGTAAACTGCACCTGGGCTTCTGTCTTTCTCTTTGGGCTCTCTCCCGAGGCAGTTTCTGCTCTTCTAGGAGCAGAGCAGCTTAGGGCCCTGTGACAAGCACAAAAAGGAAATCAGAAAATGACTGTAATGAACATAAATGTATCTAAAGTTAGATTCTTTGCTGTACTTTGATACATGTAACCCTGCTAAACCTGAACTTTTAAAAGGGAAGAGTTCCACAGGGTTTCGGGTTTTTTTGTTTGTTTGTTTTTTAAAAAGAGGTCCTGAGCACAGAAATTGTCAACTCTGAAGAGAGATACATGGTGTTTTCTTGTGGTGCAGAGTCTGGCCCACTAAAGCCAAGGACCTTGTTTACATTCATAACTGTTCTTGTAACCATTTTCTGACATTCATTTGATCCAGTTAGGTAAAACGCTTTTGGACGCATCCAGACGAATGTGCACATGCAGGGGTATGCGTTTGCTGTGGCACAAATAGCAGCGGTACATATTTGTGACACTGCTTTGTGCCCCAAGCTATGTCCCTGCACACACGCTCTGACGTGTGCCAAGTTGTTCCGGGTGGGATAGAGGAGTCTAGGGCCAGCACATTAGCCGGGGCCCTAGAGGCTTCATGGGCCAGTAGTGGCACCAATCCAGCTGCACAAAGCCTGGCTAGCAGCCAGAGCATAGCTCCGGATGGTCAGGCTCTGTTTCTGGAGGTAAACACTATTGCTGTGTGTGCTGCACTGCTTTTTTTCAGCAGCTTTTTTTGACAGCAGGATCTCCTGGTGTCAAATACTGACATGCTGCAAATTAGCAGCATGGCAAATGGGTGCATGTGCATTTCATGCGGTTTGCAGTGCTACAAACTGCACGTGTGCGCTTGTCTGGACACACCTTTGAGTTTTATCTATACAACACAAAAAAAGGTCAGCCATATTTTTGCATCCAACACCTATCATTCTTCTGACTGTTTGTATCAATACATTCTGAGAAAGTTTGGGTTGCTTCTTCATTCGTGTTTCTAGAGTACATGGAAGACAATCATAGAGAACAGCGCTAGATGAGACTGTACTATTTATTTTGTAATAGTATCTAAGGACCCCAGTCAGAGTTCAGTTGTGCTAAGTACTGTACAAGCACTTAACAAACAAGCATCCCTGCTGCAAAGAGTTCACTAAGATGAGAAGAGAAAAAATTACACAGAATAGATTCATAGAATATTGTCTGGAAGGGACCTCAGAAAATCATTTGCAGTGTGTGTGTGTGTGTGTGGAGGGAGGAGGGGGTGTTTGACACTGGGAGATCCCAGTGTCAAAAAAACCCATACCTAAAAAAAGCACAACGGTGCATGCAGCACAAAACCAGAGCCTGGTCAGCAAGAGCCACGTTCCAGCTGCTGGTCAGGTTCCCTGCTGCTGGATCACTACAGCTGCAGCCTCCGGAGGACTCCAGGACCCCAGGTAAGACTTCTGGGGCCAGCCCCAGTGCTGGACCCAGCATCCCCTATCCCAGCCAGGGTAATATGCCAAATGCCAGAGTGCACATGCACAGGCATTCCCCGGGGACAAGTAACAGTAGCACACATTGTGCTGCTGCTGTTTGTCCCTGGGTAAAAGCATGTTCCCACTCATGGGGATACACTCATGGATTTTATAGGATGGTTTGGATAGGTATGATGC